CCCCCCCCCCCCAATATTTCGCAAAGTATCTGCTACTAACTGTAATTAGGCAAGAGACCAACATATCCTGCATACCTACATTACCTACTGTAGTGCTATTATATTATGTAGCGAAATATTGGGGGGAGGGGGGTCAAATTTAGGTTGCACAGAAATCTTAGTTCTTTAACTAACTTTTTTTTTGCTTCATAGCTTAGGCTGCCGAGGAACTATAATCTATACATTTAGCAAGTTAACAAAATTTGATTATTTCTGTGTTGGTGTTGTGTACTCAGGTGAATATGATATTTGTGATGTTAGTGTAGATATACGATGTGGATATACACTCAGAGTAACATCACAAATATCATATTCACCTGAGTACACAACACCAACACAGAAATAATCATATTACTAGATTACACTGGTATCGAAGGAACTATATTCTGTTCCGAAATATCACTTACTCGAACCGACCTGACCGCGTAGCTCAGTTGGCAGAGCATTGGGCTAGTATTCCAAAGGTCGTAGGTTCGATTCCCACCGTGACCAGGCATATTATTCAAGCTCGCCCAGTGTGGATATACACTCAGAGTAACATCACAAATATCATTATTAACAAAATTTACCGAAGTAATCTCTGATGTCATCAACGGGGCATTCAAACCAATTCTGCTTCATTTTCTGCCATAAATTGTCCTTCTTCTCTTTATTATGTAAAGCCTGAACATCTTCAATGATCTGTGGTTTACTGTGCTGCAAAGCCACTACCAAACTCTCTTCAATTCCACACAACTCCACTTTGTACCTTGCCAAAGACATCTGGTAAAACACAAGAGTATTTGTATTACCTATACAGCAAAGAATCAAGCTACGAACCGCGATTATGGTATTCAAGGCTCGAAACCAATTGGTACCGGAATACATACATTTGTGACTTATTTCAACTGAAGTCGTCAGTGACTAATCGAGTCACTAGAAGTTCTGCGGACAATGATTTGTGGGTACCAAGGAATAAATTGGCAATCAGACAAAAGGCACTACCATACAGTGGTGCAACACTTTACAATAGTTTACCACTTGAGATAAGAAACTCTTCTTCCCGTAGCATCATTCAAAATAAGAACATTAATCAATACTTTCTAGAAACAGTTTAAACGTAGTCATATGTAATCTATTGTGTGTATATATATATATATATATATATATATATATATATATATATATATATATATATATATATATATATATATATATATATATATATATATATATATATATATATACACACACATATATATATATATATATATATATGGTGATAGGAAGTAAAATAAATACATATTAATAAATACATATTATTATTTTTAAGTGCCCATCCAGGGTCACAAGGCCTGGACATTTGCTTCGGTAAATGAGCTCACGAGTGGAGGAATGCTATCGTATGTTAATCTTTGCTTTTAATTTTGCATATATCTAGAAAAGGGTACGTATGTGATATTACTCTCGGAGAACTCCATCGTTTATATATATAAACATATATATATATATATATATATATATATATATATATATATATATATATATATATATATATATATATATATATATATATATATATACCCCCAGACCCCTCTAGCCTCTAGAGGGGTCTGGGGGCATGCCCCGCCCAGAAAGTTTTGGATTTCTTGAAGCTCAGATAAGCTACTTCCAGCATTTTGAGGAGTTTTCCAACAAGAAATTAACCTTACACTATAGTCCTTGAAAATCAAGCCAGCTGATCTTCTGGGACTGGTCAAATCGATCCCTGCAACGATGCTGTTTTGCAACATTTTTTTCCCACCAAATAATGGGGCAGGATATTTTTTCCCCAGTTTGTTAGTGCAGGTATTTTTTTTTGTTCAGAATAGCCTTGCAGGAATTTTTTTTTCAAAATCACCTCAAAAGTTAAATGGTCGGCCCCTTAACTAACAAGCATATCCGGTATCGTGTAACTTGGGCTTCATATTATAATGTATATTTTGGATTTTGTATTGTGCAGGGGACATAAGTGTGATATGAATGAAAGGTTGTATAAATTAATCTATTTTTACAAAGGAAAACTTGTCAATGAATTAGCAAATATATAGTATTGTGAAAACTATTATATTTTCTATATACTAGGCTACTATTTCAAATTTATTCATTAAATAGCACATCATATTTAAAAAAAAATCTACCCGCCACCCGCAATTTCTACCAAACTGTTATATAGGCCTACTGCGTACTGGTTGTTTAAATACTGTGCATGCACGAATAAAAACAAAAAATCCCAACATGAACGAACGGCGTTTTTGTGATTCTTTGTGTGCGAAAAGCAGACCTTTTTGACATTTTATATAGGAACTATATACAATTTAGTATATATCTCCAGGACTAGGTAAATGAATTTAATCGTTTTCACTGTTTTTTTTTGAGAACCAACCAAACGCTGTTTTTTGTGATAAATCATTGTTTGCCGAAAGAGTTACGACATTTATCTCATCCTCGACCATGTAATTCTGGATTTCACAAAAACGTGATCCAATAACTGTTTAATATACTCGTTCAGTCGTTGTGTTGTTAAATAGTAATTCACTAAAAAACGTACGCTATTCTCATTGGTTAACGTTTGCACTAACTATATATAGCCTTCTTAAATTAGTTGACTTTAATACGAATCGTAAAATTTCAAAAACCTGTTTTACAATTGCAGTTTTACAATTCATTGCACATGATGCATGGTGGTCATATTTTCATACGACCAGGTCGTACGTCAGTTTGGATGAGTCATACGTATCGATATTAACTTGTTTTACGATAGGTGAAATAAAATGTGGATTTGCACGACCCAAAAATTATTACGAATCGTGAAATAGAAATGACGTACTGTAGTCGTAAGATGTTACTGCATGTGATTTTCTGACCTAGCGTGGTGGTCAGGAGTCGTAGCATGTTGATTTATATTCAGTTTCGTGGATAAACCAAACCTACGGTTGCTTTGTACAGAACAAATGGCGCGGTGAACAAAGTTAGGATAAGTTGTTGAAGACGGAAAAGAAACGCAAATAGTGTAAAATCCATAACCATGCCCGGAAAAGGTAAATATTTCTTTGTACAAGCTTTTGTAATTGGTATAGGGATGCAACTACCTGAAAATATATAATGATAATTTCGACGTTTCAAGCGAAGACCCTTCGCCTGGAGTTATGCTGGTGTTATGATGGTTAACTCCAGACGAAGGGCCTTCACTCGAAGCGTCGAAATTCTCCTTATATATTTTCAGGTAGTTGCATCCCTACCAACGATTCATCGACACCGTATATTGCCTACAGGTTTAAATATTTCTAGTTTTTACCTTCCATTTTCAACAGATCGCTGTTTCAAAGCTGTCACAAACAGTTGGATCTCCTTCTTTAGGTTTCCTCTCATTTCTGGCGGTTCTGGTAAACGTTGGTAGTGGGAACTCAAAGAAAGTTCTAAACAAATTATGTCAAACAAAACATGTCAATGCGATTAATTAACACTGTACCTCAGAATTTTTTCTACTTTGCTTCAATCTAAATCTGTTAAGTGTACAGTATCAATTTGATACTTATAGGAATTGAAACATGTTTAGAATATCTTATTAAAATCAGACAAGTGCACGATTTCAAAACTAATTACTAAATTTTCTGACTTTAAACATTAGACTTAAACTTCCAAACCTTTGTTCTTTTTCTCACTTTCATCTCTATAATCTTGCCAAATATCTAATAACGCTAACACCTGTAAATAAGTTTTAAAATATTCAGTACTATGCTGTTGTACATGCAGCAGAAATATTTTGTACAAAAATATATAAAAGCAGGATTCATTCTGGCAGTTGGTACAATTTGCACCAGCAAAAATGCAGAGGGTCTAAAAATTTAAATTTAATTTCAGTTCTTAGCACGCATTTCGCCTCAATGCGTTTACAATGGGCGCTTTCCATTTAATGGCCAGACCCGAATTCAACCTGTTTCACAGGGTCTCACCTCCGCCACGCCCCCCAAACACCGGACCCGAATTTTTGTCTCTGTATCAATGAAAAGATCTGGTCTATGTTTCTCAAATATGTTGCGAAAATGGACCTCATTCTAATTCTATCTAAATTTTCCAGTCAGATAGGTCCAAAGCACAAACGTATTCAACAATTTGATCGTTCTGACCGGTCTGGCTGTGTTAATGAAAAGCGCCCAATATTAAAAGAAAACTATCCACCCCAAAGCCTTCATAACTTCTTCCAGAAAATTTGTTTCGACCACTGCATACCAAAATTTTTATTATTTGTAACGTGTTACCATTGGCATTGCACAGTTGGCAGCATGCATCCCAATGAAAAACTAATAACTATTTTGCGGGCAGTGGGCCAGAGAATGGGGGTTGCGGGCCAACACGATTGCGGGCCAAATAGCAGGCCTGACGAATTTTTATAAACATACTGACAAAATGTTTAGAAACTGGAATTTTAATAGTCACCATTTTTGTCATTAATGTCAGTAATGGGATTTCTTAATTGTGCGGGTGTGATATTTTTTACATTTCCCCCTAGCCAGTCTAGCTGACATTAAAACCTATTTCTCCCAGGATAATTTCAAACAAAACACTATTAATCAACATGATTGTCATCCACGGAATGCTTGAGCCTACGCATAGCAGGCATTTTCATTTCGACCCATGAAACCGGAAGAATTCGAGCACAGCTGATAGTATACGAATCGTCTGTGTCAACAAATGAAACGCACATATCTACGTGTGCATGTGTGCTTCTGAATCATTGAACTATAAATAAACTGGAAGGCTAACTGCTATGATTTGATGAAGCCAGAATAGTTTTTCTGAGTTATGAGCAGAAATACTTGATCCCAAACGTTGGGCTATATATCAAATTGAAGCTATCAGTTGAAAATTGCTATTCGGTGTGGAAATTTCAAGACTTCAGCGAAAAGAAAAATATTTTAAAAATACAAAAACAACTACAAAATGGCAAATTATCGGCAATTATTTTTGTAGTTTTTACTTTTTCAGTATTTCCTTTTTAGCTAAAGTCTTGAAGTCTACACCAAATAGCGTTTTTCAATAGCTTCAATTTGATATATAGCCGAATGTTCAGTGTTGAGTATTTCTGCTCATAACTCAGAAAAACTAAATTGCACTGGCTTCAACTCGATAGCCTTCCAGTTTATTTATAGTTCAATGTTCTGAATTCATTCAGTCCAGGGTGCGATAATTAATTTGCGTACTTACACGTACGTACGTACACCGGCCATTCTATGGTTTGGTAATTTTCAGCCAATTACCACGCAGTACTTTCGTTGTCTTACTTACATATGCCATGCGACTAGATTATAG